CTGTCCAAGAGGACTCTGATATATATCCTGCTTGTGCTGTTACTAGGGCTATGGCTAAAAGGTTAGCTAATAGCGGGGATTCGTCTGTGGGAGATGACTTTGATAGTGGATTTTTAAGCTCCTTGTTTGATGATGAATGTCACTCACCACTTGTTAAAGATGATCCTTATCCTATTTTAAAGGCAAATTCTTCATTGAAACAGCCTTCTGTTCGAGCCAAGCAGTCATCTATTGAGGCAAATTCTTCATTGAAAAAGCCTATTGCCAGAGGTGATTCACCTTCTGAGCAGGATCACTATTTTAATGCGGTTTCGCCCGCTCTTGCTAGTCTTGATGAAGTTTCATCTTCTTCTGCTAGTGTTCATGAGGTTTCATCCCCTCCTTGTTCTGAGGTTTCATCCTCTATTTCTGATAGTGATTCTTTGAAAAATGATCCTCATTCTACAATGATGTTAATTTATGAACAAGAGCATGATCCATCACTCATTGATCTTCATAAAAGATGTCTTACTATTGATGAAGCTGATAAGGTCCCTGTATGTTTCTACAAAAAGGATGGCATATTAATGCGAAAGTGGAGACCTCCTGAAGCTTCCCCTGAAGACGATTGGGCAATTGTACATCAAATTGTTGTCCCCAAATCGTATCATAAGGAAATCTTGAGTCTAGCTCATGATTCTCCCATGGCAGGTCATTTAGGAGTAACTAAAACATATCATAAAATACTCAATCATTTCTATTGGCCCGAATTAAAACAAGATGTCCAAGAGTATTGTAGGTCTTGTCATACATGTCAAATGGTAGGGAAACCTAACCAAGAAATCTCAATTGCTCCTTTACAACTTATACCTGCATTTGATGAACCATTCAGTAAGGTTCTTATTGACTGTGTTGGTCCTTTACCAAAAACAAAATCTGACAATCAATGTCTGCTCATTATTCTGTCCATGGCCACACAGTTTACAGAAATAAAATCACTCCTTATGTTTAGGAATAGCAAAACCAAGTATATTGTGAAATCACAAATCAACATTTTCACATTAGTTGGGGTATCAAAGGAGCTTATTTCTGACTCAGTGCTGAATGATTTCATTTGCATTGACAAAACTACCCCTGTGAGGTGTAGAGAGCTACACACGATGAAAAGGTATGTTGAGCGTGATAAATTTCTTTACTCAACATGAGCTTGTGCTCTTAGCTCATAGGCCAAACTTGTATGTCAATGACAACTATACATGTATGTTATTCAAGAGTCAGATATTGTAAATTATAATGATTAACTCATGAAGATTATATTATATGATAGGCAAATTAGAGATTTGTGATAACTGTCACTTTATTTTAACAATATATAAAACATTTGCCTAAATAGTGAAATTGATATTATGTGAACTATAAGATTGTATTAAGATTATGTGAGCATCATAGGTGATCATTAAATAGTGTCACAAGATCACTAGATAATACGAGATTGTAATATTGGAAATACATACATAAGATCATGTGATAATTCAAAACATTGTACTAGTTTAGTGTTTGTCAGACTCAAAATGTATGCTATTGTACAAGTTATATGATCTATTGCATATATTGTATTTATGACTTGATGCATAACTTAGCTTGATACCATTGTAGTATGATACTATTGAAATACATTATTACAAAACATTATATGTTATTAGATTGTACTCACACTGTAACGATAGAAAGTATTATATACTTGTAAACATACTGCATATAAAAAGACTATTGTAAACAAATATTATGTTAGTCTCAACCTCACTTTTAAAAATTGTAACGCTCGCTACTCAAGATATTATTGTAAAAGTTTTTCATTGCATTCAAAACTTTTCTTTTAAGGAGGGAGGTGTTACAGTAGTGAGCTACATGTATATTATATTCTACTATATTCACCTATAGTTTTTTTTAATTTGTAATCTATGCTTGCTGTATATGTTGAGCTATTCTTTATTAGAGATCTTAGGTCAAGGTCACAATGACATTATACACTGTATCTTGTAAACAAAACTGAACTGAATGACTCATTAACCCTTGACCATCCAGATAGTTCTAGAAATTATAACCATTCATTAAAATTTAATCATGTCACTAAAGATGTCCAATCAAGATGTACTTCTGGAACCTTCTCTCCAGAACATTCTTATACACTAGTATAAAAGCAACTACACAGTGACTCTCATCAGCAGATAATTAAGTAATCATAACTGGACATCTCAAAGGAACTAAATAAAGCAGAATTTCAAAGTTTATCAAAAGGACATCTTCTTAGCAGATAATTACCGTGGGAACATTTATAACACTACAAATATACAACCTGAGGACTTTATATGGACATATATTACAACACACACTATATACGGATTATCATATACATTCGTGGATTATCATAAACATTTGTGGATTATCATCAAACATTTGTGGATTATCATCAAACATTATTGGATACAAACATTATAGGATTACAACGAACATTATTGAATTATTACAAACATTGGAGAACTATTAACGATTATCGAAACATTCGTGATCTGGAACATTCTCAAGGATCGTCAACGACATTTATCGACATCAAGAATAAGCCGTATCATTGATTGGACATCACTTAAGTATTAAACCTCCTTTATATTATTGTTATATTATTTAGTTTTCAAAATATAAATATATTGTTATCATATTTTAATTGCTGTTTTTACTTTCTGTTATTTTCGAACGTAACAATAGATGGCAAGTCAGTTGCAAGAAGAGTTAGAGTAAAGGATAGGGTGGTGTTCAGCTGTCAATGGTTGTGGAATTATAGGGATGCTTATATCAGTGTTAACTATTGATTTGGCTCTGAAAAGTAAGGGAATCAACATTTCAAATATTCTTTACAGGGAAAAGATTTGACACAATCCCAAACAAAGTATGAAGTTTAGTTAGTCTGGATCAGTTTTTTTTAGTTAAGCACTTCTCAATGATAGTATACAGCAAGGGCAAGGTGAAGGGTAACATCTAATGTGAAATTATTGTGCCATCAAGTACATTTAGTTTAATTGCATGCATTAAATGTTTAAAGGCCCAATCTATATTTTGAAAATTGTTTCAATGCTGTTCATTTTCGACTATAGTTAGTAAGTTTAATAGAGAGAAAACTTTATTCAAGCATCTTAAGAAGATAGACTTAAGCGCAAGAAGTAATAACCGGTAAAGATACATAGCATATAGTAAATTGGATTAGTTCATTATATAAAGTAGGGGTGTTAGCATATATTGAAAAAAAATATGTTTTTATCATTTATTTACTTTTTCTTAACTTTAAAAGTTATTTTAGAGATTTTTGTAAAGAAACTTAGTTGTCTAATTTGTATATATCAGATATTCAAATTTCCCGCCATTTTTCAAATAAAAGTTGAATGTTTTTTAAGCATCAAATATTCCACTATATACAGTGCAAAACATATTAAGTTTTTGACACCACTGTGATGATTTGACAAAGGATATACTATTTCAATAATAAAATGTCATACCTTATGTTCCATTTCAATGTTTTAGCAAATTAAAACATTTGCACCATAAGTGACATCATTGTGATGTCATTTAGGGTGCAAAAATGTGTTGAAAACATTTCCAAAGTTTTTTCTTTGTAAATTTTTCTAAATATGCAAAATGAACCAATGTTGATTGTTTAACTAGTTTGAAAAGAACATATTGTGTTTTAAATATTACTGTACATGTACCTTGGTTTCTATGAGAACTACGAAAGACACATGAGAATGAATGCTAAGTATTGGTATGAATTTTCGCTCATTCAAAGATAATGTGTGAGCTCTAAAATTTAATTTAACATAAATTCTCAAAAAGTCCTTCAAAAACCACTTTCGAAATTCAAAAACAATTTCACATTGGCCTATCATATTTTGATAACACTTGGTAAGACTACAGTAGAAGCCAAAGTGGTTTAAACTTTATATGGGGCCTTTAAATTAATTGCCCTTAAAACAGAGTGACACTGTAGTGTCTCAGTGTACACATGATAACTTTGATAAATGATAGGATGAATAAACTATATGGTATTTTTATCTTTGTCACTGATTTATTTATAAGACATAAAGTATCTAACTTTCTTTGAGTTAAGTATATAACATACAGTATATACTATAATGATATTTCTTAATCTACTTTTGTAGTGTTCCAAGGAATATAAAACACAACCATGTTGACATTTATATTATTGTTAGCCTGTGTAAATCATATGTGGTTGCACTTGCAAAGCATTTCCCTTTGTATAAATATGTTCAATTTTATTGGTTATAACTTATCATTCTTGATCCAATCCACATGCATTTCAATGAGGAAGTACATAAAAAGATACCTCATCAATACAAAGTTTAATAAATACTGCACTATTCTAACCTATGATAACTTCAAGGGGCAAACCATTAAATTATGGGAGACTTAGCTTTTTTGTTAGCCTTGTGACCCCCCCCCCCCCCTTCCATGCCTTCCTTCAGATAAAGCTGATTGGGGGCAGATAAAACTGATTGGGGGATCCCTTGAATTAATGGAAGACTTCCTGTTCGTTAGAAAGAAATATCAACAGAAGAGAGGTGAGGTATCCCAAGATATACATGTATGAGTATAATGATCCACCCCTAAGTTAATAATTACTCATTGTACCTTGTAGATGCAGGAATATTGGAGGTAGGTGACTGCTCAAGGCTCTGATTTGTGATAAATGTATCATTGATTACAATGGCAATATCTTTATTTGGAATTATAAATTGGAAGAAATGAGACGCAACTAGAGCAAATATTGGAATATTGAATGGAGCGAATATCGGAATGGAAAGCATGGATTTAGCACCTTACATCCACAGATATTGATCATGAATTAATCAGTTTCACAGGTCCCAGTCTACAGTCATGTAATTTCAGCGCTAGATTTGTAATTGTAACTTGAGCAATATATCTTAAATTTACATTCGTCTTTATATTTGCAGAGTGATTGACTAACTTGAAGACACACCTATATCAGACATAGCAAAACCATAGCAACCACATAGCAACGATCAGACATAGCAAAACCATAGCAACCACATAACAACGATTATGTCAGGAGAAAAGAAAGGAACAGTTGTGCTTGCATATAGCGGGGGCCTTGATACGTCATGTATACTTGTCTGGCTGATGGAACAGGGCTACGATGTCATAGCTTTCATGGTAAGCTACTTCACATATACTGGTACCTGTATACAGTGTATATGTCGTTTATTAAGGACGTACAATTTACATTGGGAGTTGATTCATGCACTTTGATAAGTCGACCAACTGTCACTTTCTGACTCTTATGCCAAAATGTTGAAAAGGGAATGTTCAAGGGACTATCACAGATACTAGAATTCCGTGATTCCGCATCGCCGCAGAAAAACACAGAATTTTGGTTTTCCAAATTTTTGCAGAATTTGATTTTTTTGCACAAAATTTCTCAGTAAACTTGATTTTTCCAGTGAACATCTCATCTCATATTAGTCACTCACCTTGACACGTTAGACATTCATTTATCATCAGAATTCATGCAGAGTTTCTGCACAGAATTTGCATTTTCACATGGATGTGTAGACTATGCATAAAGAATATATATAATACCTATATAATAATAAATGGTCTGAAGGATGTATTTTCAAATTTCTAAGTGCTCCAGGTGCTAATTACAGAGAATACGGTATCATTGATTGCTGAAATAAAATAATACTTTCTCATAAGCTAGGGCAATTGTAATATAGTAATAATCATAGGGACATGGATGACTGAAAGATGGCGGTTGTGGTTTCTATACTTATTGTTGTTTTAAATAGACAAACCACAACTGCCGTATTTGTGTTGGCCTTATGCCTGAAAAAATAAAAAATCTGTTTCCAAAGGCTCAGATGTATGACAGCGCATTTGACTGTATGTCTTGGCCATTCCTACAGTTAATAAAGCTAATATATCTCATACAGTAAAGTCTGTCAACAGGAGTACCTCTTTATGTGGGAAATGAATTCCTGGTACATGTATCTCCAAGATATATCATGGAATACCTAAAGTGGACCTAAGGGCAAGACTTACTCAAATATGACAAACAACATCTGTTTCAGGCAAATGTTGGTCAAGATGAGGACTTTGAAGCTGCCAGAGTGAAGGCTGACAAACTTGGAGCCAAGAAGGTTGAGATAGTTGACTGCCAGAAGGAGTTTGTGGAGGAGTACATCTGGCCTGGTGTCCAAGCTAATGCCCTTTATGAGGACAGGTACCAACTAGGAACAGCCTTCGCAAGACCTGTCATAGCTAAGTATGTGTCATTATCTTGACATTATTTATCTTGAATGCATGTTCAGTCTTTCATAGAGTGAAACCTGTCATATTTTAATGGAAGTAATTCTTGAGACTTATTTGATTCCAGGATGCTTATTGATGTTTGCCACCAGAACAATGCAGGATTTGTATCCCATGGTGCAACAGGCAAAGGCAATGATCAGATTAGATTTGAGTTGGCCTGCTATGCCTTAGAGCCAAAGATACAGGTATCTATCTGTCAAATATGTCCAATATTCAGCTTTAGTCTTCAGTCAAAGCATTTTTACTTTAGACATTTATATTCATTATTTTTAACATGTTGAAAATGAGACCAATATTTTATCAGATAGATCTACAATATTTATTCATCAATTCGTTCTAAATTATTTAATGAATAATATCCAGATTATTGCTCCATGGCGGATGCCAGAGTTCTTCAATCGCTTCAAAGGTCGCTCAGATTTATTGGAGTATGCCAAGGCTCACGGCATCATGGTCTCCTCTACCCCCAAAGCTCCATGGAGCATGGATGCGAACATGATGCATATAAGGTAAGACTCTCTGGAGTAATACATGTAGAGCTATAAGGCAAAGCGGCCTGGTCATATTTTAAGTGAGACTCCATGGAGTATGGAATATGGATGCTATCATGATGCAAAATACATTATTTACTAGTGTGAGGTTTTTTGCTTTATTATCTCCCTCCTTTTGTCATCTTCATGTTACCAACAATGTCTCTGTATGTCTCAGTCAGAAATTTGTTTCATTTGAAGGCCAGTTGTAAGTCCCTTTCATCTACCCTTAAAATGGATAAAGCATTGAAAGATATCTTTGAGGATCTGTTATGTGATAAAAATACATGTTGAAAATCAAGACATAAAATTTTGGCTGGAATTATAATTACAATTGGTCAATCTAAACTGTGCTAGTAATTTCAAAATACAAGTTGAAAGGCAGAAAAATGTGTTGGCTTTTTCAGTCATTACATGTATATACATCGTGATATTTCAGTTATGAGTCTGGTATTCTTGAAGACCCCAAGACTCATGCTCCGGATGATATATGTGAGATGACCACTAACCCAATTAATGCTCCAGATAAACCAGAGAAACTAGAAATACAATTTAAAAATGGTGAGTAGTGGTCAACAGCAGCCCATAGCTGGGAAAAGGGGATTGTGCTTTCGACACACCCGTAAATTTAGTAAAATGTTGACATAATTTTTTCAAATTGGCATTTTCTCAGAATTGGATTTTTTATTTTAGCAGTATCTAGCAGCAACTAAAATAAAAAAATTATAGCACCGCTATGGGCCAACTTTGAATACAATATGGTATAAGAATTGACAATAGGAATTTCAGATTTGTAATCATGTTATAGCTAAAAGGAAGCACTGAGCTCCTCAAATGGGCTTGGCACCCACCTGAAAACCCATTTAAACCCACATCCTGAATATTGACTAACTTTTGTAAAAAAAAAGTGAAATCGGGAATTTTGCACACACTGGATGAAAAAAACATATTTTGAGAATACTGAAAAGGTCCAAATAAAATGGTGATTGTGTTTTTCAGGTGTACCTACAAGGGTAAAGAACTTGGATGACGGGACTGAGAAAACTGTTCCACTTGATCTCTTCCGCTATCTTAATGCAGTCGGCTCTAAACATGGTGTAGGGAGGATTGATATTGTTGAAAATAGGTTCATTGGAATGAAATCAAGGGGTGAGTGCCTCATCACCATATCTCATAGATGAAGATGTTTGATTAATTCAAAATAATATTTCTTAAAGTTAAAGGAATATATAGGTTTTACTGTACATTGGACGCGTTTTGATATAAGCTTAAGACTTCTGAACACAATGTTTTGCATCATATTCTAAAATTTAATTGGCTATCGTCCATAATCATTAATTTCCAATATTACAGGTGTATATGAGAGTCCTGGAGCCAACATTCTTCTCCATGCTCATCTGGATATAGAAACGTTCACTATGGACAGGGTATGTGCTATTAACAGTTTTTGGGTCTCTCAGTGAACCTCTGAGATCACCAAGGCGTTTGTCCTTTTTATCAATTTAATAATGGTTATACAATTCAAACTGATATTAGTGCACATATTTAATTTAGATATTTGACCTGTCATCACCATTTCTCAGTTATTTCAGTTTTAGGGAAACATGTGATTTTGACATAAAGATGTATTTTGTACAGGAGCATGGTTCTTATTTCTTACTAACCACCTTACAAAATATAGAATGATGAATTTATGTTCTTCTTTACCTTATCTGACATACATATTGAAAACAAAAGCCTAAGAACTTGATGTTAATAGAAGTCATTAGATATATAAGGTGTACATGTTCCTCGTTACACTTATATGTAATCCACTTGTCACTTTTCTAGGAGGTTAGGCGAATCAAGCAAGGGCTTTCAATCCAATTCTCAGACCAAGTTTACAGAGGTGAGTTTCTTAATGAAATCACAATCTACAACCTTTGGGCCATCCCCACTCTACACTGTACAATTGTTATTTTCATCATCTTCTGAAACTGAAAAAACAAATATTGACGCTTCATGCAAAAATCAGCTTTCCCCACTCACCTTTAGTTTACAGAGAGATGGCACGTTTTTGCCCCAGTTCTTTTAATGAATGTTATAATTTGATGGTTTAACTTGTAACTTAATGATTTAATACAAAATTGGTCAGTTAAGTAGACACAAATTATGGCCTTGATTGACCAACCATTTTCATATACTGTAAAACGGGTAATTATGACACCGGGAAATTTTAGCGATTTTTCAATTTTAGGGGGTTTTAGCGCGGAAAATTTTAGCGAAATGAAGATTAATCTTTAGAAAATCAAATTAGCGAAATGCATATTAGAAATTTTATCATTTATGGCAGAAGAATGAATAACGGACATGACAGAGGAATTATTAAAATGTAAGACTTCTAACGCACATGGTATTGGTCCAAACTACTGTAATCTCATCTGACTAATCACAAAATCACGAAAGATTGAAAGAAACATATATGATTTAAAAATATTTACCTTTTTCAAATTACAAACTGGAAGTCGAGCACTGAACGAAAAGCTCCTTAAATACAGTATTCATGTAGTTTCCCGGGAATTTGCAAATTTTAGCGCCCAGTTTATTTTAACCCCGGTTTATTTTAGCGAATTGAATTTTTAGCGAAACTATAGCGATCGCTAACAATTACCCCTCGCTAACAATACCCGTTTTACAGTATAAAATAAATGAACACATTTCTTTTGTATCCAGGTTTCTGGTTTAGTCCTGAGTGTGAGTTCACTCGCAGCTGTATTGCCCGCAGCCAAGAGGGAGTCGAAGGCACTGTAGTGGTTCAGGTCTATAAGGGACATGTTTACATTCTAGGCAGAGAGTCCCCACTCTCACTCTATAATGAGGAATTGGTCAGGTACAATACTCAGTAGTATTTTTAGCTCACATTTTCATCGTTGGTATATACTAGTTACCATTTGTATAGTTCACCTAAAAATCACCAGCCTTAACCTTTTTGAGAATTAACAGACAGATTATCATTGATTTCTCCTGTTCTATTGCAAGATCATGGTGCATTGGCAGTTTTGAGCTGAAAATATTATAATTTTTTTTATGAAAACCATGGGTCAGATATTTACCAGGTATGCCGATTTGACTAGATCATGAGTTTATCTTTATATGTGTGAAGTTTCGGTGAAATTCATACTAAACATAGATGCCTATATCGAGGGGCACTTAACTGCTGTCTAAATCATATCAGAAAGATTTTAGACTTGGCATGTGCTTAGAATGAATGTTGATCTAGTCAAATCGAACACTTTTGTGAAAAATAAATCAATAAAGTACGAAAAAAGTACTAAAGATAATCTCTCAAAATCAAACATCAATGGCTGAGTGACCTAATTGTGACATCACTACAAAATAGAATCCACCCGGTGATCGCAAATCATCAATCGACTTACTTCTGGAAAATCCTGTTGTGTAAAATGCTGCACACATGAAGAATAACAATGAAGAATATTCTTAATTGCTATATTTCAGTATGGATGTACAGGGAGACTATGATCCCCAGGATGCTGCTGGCTTTATAAGAATCAATGCACTCAGGTATGAAACTAGAACTAATTACTACCCCATGTTATTTGCCAGTGCTAAAACAAACTCTATTTTTGTATACATTTATATTTAGAGACAAACTGTTTTTAAAACTTTTCTGTGTATTTTGTATCTATGTATGTTCTATATAATGTCTCATAGTTAAACTGCATTGGCTGAACATTTTTTACATTGAATCATATTTTTGGACTTAAAATCTGCTCTTTTATCACTGTTTATTATTTCATTTGAACATTTATAGTTCATTTATAGCTCATCTGTAAATTACTATTCTATTATGTCACCACCAAAAAGTGGTGACATATTTTTATGGTCTCCGTTTTTTTTTATGTCACCACCAAAAAGTGGTGACATATTGTTATGGTCTCTGTTTTTTTTATGTCACCACCAAAAAGTGGTGACATATTGTTATGGTCTCCGTTTTTTTTGCGACGGCGGTTGGTGGTTGGCGTCCGGCGTCCGGCGTCTGTAACAATTTCTTACAACTTCCTATAACTTAACAAATACTGTTTACACTGACTTCAATTTTTTTCTAAATCATCTACATCTTCTCAGAAGTTCAAATCTGACTTTAGATTTGACATTTGACCTTCAATGACCTTCTCAAGGTCAAAAAGGTCTTTTTTCAACTTGCTTCACATCAAAATCATCTACATGTTCTCAGAAATTCAAATCTGACTTTAGATTTGACATTTGACCTTCAAATCTGACTTTAAATTTGACATTTGACCTTCAATGACTTTCTCAAGGTCAAAAAAGGTCAAAAAGGTCTGTTTTCAACTTGCTTCAAATTGACTAAATTTTTTTTTCAAAATCATCTACGTGTTCTCAGGAATTCAAATCTGACGTAAGATTTGACTTTTGACCTTCAATGAACTTCTCAAGGTCAAAAAAGGTCAAAAAGGTCTGTTTTCAACTTGCTTCATATTGACTAAAAAAAATTTTCAAAATCATCTACGTGTTCTCAGAAATTCAAATCTGACTTTAGATTTGACTTAAGATTTGACATTTGACCTTCAAATCTGACTTTAGATTTGACATTTGACCTTCAATGACCTTCTCAAGGTCAAAAAAGGTCAAAAAGGTCTGTTTTCAACTTGCTTCAAATTGACTAAATTTTTTTTTCAAAATCATCTACGTGTTCTCAGGAATTCAAATCTGACGTAAGATTTGACTTTTGACCTTCAATGAACTTCTCAAGGTCAAAAAAGGTCAAAAAGGTCTGTTTTCAACTTGCTTCATATTGACTAAAAAAAAGTTTCAAAATCATCTACGTGTTCTCAGAAATTCAAATCTGACTTTAGATTTGACTTAAGATTTGACATTTGACCTTCAATGACCTTCTCAAAGTCAAAAAAGGTCAAATAGGTCTTTTTTCAACTTGCTTCAAATTGGCTAAATTTTTTTTTCAAAATCATCTACATGTTCTCAGAAATTCAAATCTGACTTTAGATTTAACATTTGACCTTCAATGACCTTCTCAATGTCAAAAAAGGTCAAAAAGGTATTTTTTCATCTTGCTTCAAATTGACTAATTTTTTTTTTCAAAATCATCTACGTGTTCTCAGAAATTCAAATCTGACTTTAGATTTGACTTAAGATTTGACATTTGACCTTCAATGACCTTCTCAAAGTCAAAAAAGGTCAAAAAGGTCTTTTTTCAACTTGCTTCAAATTGACTAAATTTTTTTTTCAAAATCATCTACATGTTCTCAGAAATTCAAATCTGACTTTAGATTTGACATTTGACCTTCAATGACCTTCTCAATGTCAAAAAAGGTCAAAAAGGTATTTTTTCATCTTGCTTCAAATTGACTAAATTTTTTTTTCAAAATCATCTACATGTTCTCAGAAATTTAAATATGACTTTAGATTTGACATTTGATTTTTTCAACTTGCTTCAAATTGACTAATTTTTTTTTTCAAAATCATCTACACGTTCTCAGAAATTCAAATCTGATTTTAGATTTGACATTTGACCTTTAATGACCTTTTCAAGGTCAAAAAAGGTCAAAAAGGTCTGTTTTCAACTTGCTTCAAATTGACCAAATTTTTTTTTCAAAATCATCTACATCTTTTCAGAAGTTCAAATTTGACTTTACAAGTTCTCAGAAGTTCAAATCTGACTTTAGATTTGACCTTTGACCTTCAATGACCTTCTCAAGGTCAAAAAGGTCTTTTTTCAACTTGCTTCAAATTGACTAATTTTTTTTCAAAATCATCTACATGTTCTCAGAAGTTCTTCTTTAGGTCAAAAGGTATTTTCCAACTTGCTTTAAATTGACCAAATTGTTTTAGGTGGTGACATTTTGTCATGTTAATGCCTTGTTTCAGTTATACTATCAATACTAGACTGTAGCTCATCATTTCATATCAATAATTTCAGACTTAAGGAATATCAGCGACTTCGAAGTAAACAACTAGGTAATGGAGACAAGTAGAGACCCCTTAGACCGAATGAAGCACCTAAGGATGATTCAAAAGATTTTTAAGACTATATGTACATGCACTCTAGTGTACAAAAAATCGAATCTATGCTTATTTCACATTGTTAACTGAAAGTTGACCTAAAATTGTCTTTCTAGTGACATCTATTGTCAAGGTATGTTTTTAGCCCTGTGTATTAGACGGCTACATTAACCACACAACTGAGAGTCCATTTTTTAAATATTTAATTTAAAAATCAAGTATACTATAATTTATGTGCCATATTAAGTGTATTATTCTAATAGCCCAATAAGGAGCTACACTGTAAATAGAATCCCCAGATAAGATCATGGAAAACATTTCTTTAAATATATTTTTTGAAGTCTCTAAATGAAATTGAACTTAAAACTGAAACCACCTCAAGATCAAATCTTGTTATGGGCATTTAGGACATTCAATAGAAACTACAATATTCCTACATTGTAGAACGATTTAATTTAAATACATGTACACTGTATAGCCAATCTACTGATGTTAAATATTGACAATAAAAATTAATTTAAGAATACAATATATTTAATATTGTTCATTTATTTAGTATATGTCTTAATGGACAGCTTTGTGCGTTTAAGGTGAACTGTAATGTTGTCATGGTATCAAATACAGCATAAAGTGAAGGATTGATATAAAAAATATAATATACACGATGTCATGAATGAACCATGTACTTGAGATTACATTTAACATGACATGATGTCATCTCACGTTTACTTATCAAACATACATGTCCAAAAATTGTCAAAAATGCAGACCAGCTGCATCAGAATAGTATACAATATAAACATCTAAGGAAAACTATAACACTTTCTCTACTCCCTCCCCTAGTTCTTTATGACTTGGGGGATCCCGGGGGTTCAATTTAAATAATTTGGGTAGGTATGTCAAGCACAGCCAATTTTGGTTTTGGGCATAAACCATGGAAACTGGCCAATCTGAGAGGAAAAACATGGCCAAATCATCTAAAAAAGTCATAGCATTCAAACTTCTGGTCTGAATAGTCTAAATATAAACTTTGCGTTGTCACAGAAGGGTTTGAGATTAAATGTCTTAATTCTGATAGTGCATTACACCTGATATGTACCATGGGCATTAACAATTGAAGAAAGTCGTGCTTCTGGTTCCTGTCCATTTCCTCTCATAGCTTTTCTCTTCCTCATTTAAATTGTCACTGATTAAAGCGTCTCATCTTCATTCTCATATATTTCACTTGTTCCATCATTCTCTGCACTTGTTTCTAGAAACTTTGTATCAACAAGAGCTAATGTCACGTTGGCTGCCCCAGATGCTACCAGAGCGCCCCCTGGTGTAAAGCCACATTGGTGAATCACCTCACTTCTCGACTGAAATAAATTTATAAATTTTTTGAACAAGTTCAGACAATATCAAAACATCATTTGCAGTGTACACTTGAATGCTTCACATGAGATGGTGATTTGTGAGGGAACAAAAAAAGGCATGCACATAAAACACCTCTCCCGGCAATGTTACATGGAATTAATGAACCTTCCTTATTAAGGAACATCTACTTACAGGGAGCAATTTGGCCAGTGCAGAGGTCATCTCAAATAGGTTTTACTGTTCTTCAATGTCCAATATTTTCCAATGTCTTACCTCCAGTGTTTTCAACAGTACCCCTTTTAGGCAGCACCAGACTTTGACAGTTTCATCATCAGAGGCTGAGGCAACATAGGAGCTGTCTGTGGAGAATGAGACTGCCTTGATCCAGCCCTCGTGGCCAGTTAGCAGATGTAGCACCTTGAGATTGCGAGGATTCCACAGCCGTATGGACTTATCATAAGAACCACTAGCCTATAAGGTGAAAAATAAAGTTACATGGATTTGAATTTAGAGCGTTTTGATGTTGTTATAATTAGGGCAAATAAAAAATTGTTAATTTTTAAATTTGAAATGTTTCACCACAAGACAAAGTTTATAAATGCCATTATAACTTATTACTCTATCTGCTAAACAAGATCTACTGGCATGTGCCGCCTACCTACATCAGCACAAGACAATGAAAATATGTCACCTTTTCAAAGTGTGGTAAACACTGTAATAACATTTACTGAAAAGTGCCATCTATGAATCGAACAATGGTAATTTTAAATTACAATTGATGAGAGATGATAACAGTACCAGCATGCCCATTTTAGAAAAGGCTACAGCATTGACATTCCCAGTGTGTCCCTCTAAACAATGAACCTTCTCAATCCTGTCTGCACTGTTCAGTGTCCATAGCCTGACAGTATGGTCCCAGGATCCTGTAGCCTACAAAGAATATGCGGATAACTGTATAATACTGACTGGTTATGCCCACGACAGTACTTCTGATGTCACCCTTTGGATGTTTGCTTGTCATGAAAGGAATGATATTGTATATATAACACTACAGCATTTATATCAGAAGATATGCATCTCAGTTGGCATTTATGTCAATGACAGTGAAACCTGGAAAAGTACTGATAAAGTGGAACACCTCTGTTAGTGAAACACTTCAGAGTTCCTAGACCAACTGACTTAATGTTGAATGAGACTCTATAAGTGGGACACCTTCAAGGTGGAACACTTTTTAGAGGTACCAAAGGTGTTCCACTTATGTTTTACTGTATATCAATTGGTGATAAAAATGTATAGGTTAAATGGTTTTAATACTTTAATGTTCAACTCACCAGCCATTTACTATCATATGAGAGGGCTAGACCCTGGATGACATTACTGTGACCTGTAAAGATCTTTATGCTGTGACCATTCTGAAAAAACAACCATCAGTTCACTGGGGAGTATCGTGATGCAACAACACCGTGTTGTTGCATCAAGATGGCCAGACTTCCGGTGATAGATTTTCGTACGATATGTTGTTTCCCCAATTTAAACCCATTTCTAGGACGAGTTTCTCAATAACCATACGCGTGAAGTTAGCGCACGATCTATATTTAAAGAAACTGTCTTTAGTATACATGTAGCATCATCAAGAAGCAAGAAGTTCACCGTTTTAGTTCCCCACTATTGATGCAACAACACCAAACCGAAGATGCAACAACACTCCTCTAGATTTGAGCAATGATGCAACAACACCAATTAATTGTATAATTTCAGAAGACCATAAATCTCGAGAGGAACAGATTTTTAAATGCTACTATTGCAACACCGGCGTTTTATTCATGTCCCGATCAACACCTATAAACAAAACATAAAACAGTTTCTCTTGATATTCAATGATACATTATATTGGCGTTTTTGCATCAGCACATTGGTGTTGTTGCATCATCGATAATAAACAGAGTGGTGTTGTTGCATCAATAGTGAGGAATTAAAACCGCAAATTTCTCTCTTCTTGATGATGCTACATGCATACTAATGAGAGTTTTTAAAATATAGATCCTGAGCTAACTGCACGTGTATGATTATTGAGCAACTCGTCCTAGAAATGGGTTTAAATTGGGAAAACAACATATCGTACGAAAATCTATCACCGGAAGTCTGGCCATCTTGATGCAACAACACGGTGTTGTTGCATCACGATACCCCCCAGTGCAGTTGCTATAATATGACCAATTGGATTCATGAATGTGCATAGTTACCACCTTGTATAACCTAGTACTAGCCTATGGATTTCAGTATTACAAAAATAGTCATATTCTAAATGACTTTCTTCAGAAGTGAAACTGAAATACTAATAGGAAGATAAAGTGGAATCCTGATTTATTGAAAAATAATTTATTTACTTGTATGTCCCAGAGGATGGCTGATCTATCCCAGGATGCAGTGCAAACTTGAAGACTGTCAGATGAAAATGCAACGGCTTCAACACTTTTTGTATGACCTGAAATAATCAAAGAAACTATCCATCTTCTGCAACTATTGCAAATATAAAAATATACATAGGCTGCAGTACATATGTCAAGAAGTGTATTCAGGAGAAACAGAAACAAAATATGTTTAAAAAATAATTTTTGCTGTACAGAAGTTCTAATGACTTACATGTATCTGTATCTTGGTGTATACTCATATCATATCTTAACTTCCAAAATATTATAAAAATCTAAACCAAGGATATTGTCAAGTCCATGGTCTATGACAGAATTGTGATCAACCCCATTGATTACAATAAGTCTAACCTTTTAGCATGTGAAGTAAACTAGCATCCCTGGTCTGCCATATTATAGCTGTGTTATCATAGGATCCACTGACAATATATCTACTGTTAGGACTCACAGCAATACAGCGCACTGCACCTTTAAAGTATATTATGTTTGATTTGAATATGCATGCATGATTTTATTATAATTATCTGTAGAACAGCGTAAAGCAGGAAATCATGGTTGAATCCACTGATTGGGCAACCTCTAAGCCAGTCCCTTGAGATGGTGCTCAGCATTTATACAAGTTAAGGCCTGAAGAAGCTGGTCGAAACATTGTATAAGTATAAGCATGGGCTTCCAATAGAAGATGAACAGATACATATACATCTAGTGCAGCTGTCCTTCAAATCTGACATTTTTTCAGATTACTTCATGATCACAATCCTGAATCTAGAATTATACAGGAAAATAGTTCCATCCAGTGTTTCTTAAGAAGCTATTAGCTTCTATGAATGTGTGATTAATTAATGCATGTACAGTGAAACCTGTAAAATGGAACACCTCAGTCAGTGGAACAACGCCTTTCAGTTACTTTATTCACAAAAAGCCATCACTAGAGGTAACCAATACACAGATCACCGATTTTAAATAAACCTCCATAAGTGGAACATCTCCCAAGCCGAACTTTGTACCAAATATTTTCCACTTATACAGATTTTACTGTATATGTATATAGAGTAAAAAAGATTTGACTACATTGTAAACTTTGATGCTATTTGTACCTGTATGAGCCTTCAGTTTGACGACCATGTCTCCTGACCTGCTGTTGAATACTCGTACTCTACAATCATCACAAGCCGTCACCATCATCTCAAAGTCATTGGAAAATGCCACACTATTCACCTGTAATAATAGCATGATATACAAAAAGAGAATTGCACAGTTCTGAGAGTTCAAGGAGATAACTGAAAGTTCTTCATGTACTATGAGTAGTATGCACTGCAACTTTGAGATGTATGTATAAATTCACCATTTCGAAAACTGCCGTAATGTATCTACTATCTGCCCATTGGCTCGCAAGCTACATGTACATATACAGCGACCTTATATATATATATATATACAAGAGGACCCTCAATAGACTTCAAGATGTCCCTACCCATGATCATAGGCCAAGGGAAAAGTAATAGTAAGCTGAATATATCTCTTCTATATATGGCTTACTATTACTTTACCCTTGGCCTATGCCCATGATATTATGGCCATTGGGAAAGGCTAACCCTCAAGTGCCAACACCCCCCCCCCCCCAATAAATGTAATTTAGCTAAAGAGAATACACTCACCTCATCTTTGTGGTTGTCAAAACTTTTGACGTCTAAATTACAATAATCTTCTGGTCCACTCAACATATTAGTGTTTACACTTATGACTAATGTAAATAACTGTTATTTAGAGTGGAGTATTTTCTGTTTATATGCATGCCATTTCTTTGTGCTCGATAGGGACGTCAGTATTACAACTGATTATTTTTGAATTCATATTTATCTCATCTTCACATTTCATCATTCAGTTGCTTTTGAATTGGCTTAAAATTTTAAAATACTATTTCATTATAAGCATATGCTTTTCAGCTATGATATTCAACAAATTGTACAAATTTACAACCACTTATAATGCGCAAATCAATGTATAAAATGCGTTTAAAATCACATAAAAATTAAAACATTTGTTTATTTGCTGCTGTGGGCGATAATGGGGATACACTGAACGAAATTTTCGAATCCCGGGAATTTCAAATCCTTGTCAGACCATTTTATATGAATTAACCTCCAGTTACAAACTTACCTGGACAAAACTCTCTTGACAGAAACTATGGAGAAATCAACTTCTACATAGTATTGCAAAATCAAATGGCATCCTAATTATGGATACTGTACGTACATGCATCTTCTATGTGAAAACTTCTCATTAATAAATATTATTCCCCTCATAAACTGGCCAATTGAGATAAATACCGGCATTACAGGGCATTGTTTTTTTAAATTTGGGCCAATTTTTTTCTCCAGACATTTTGAGAAAGACTCGAAGGCATGCTAGGCGAACCCTGGAAACACGGATTCGTTAGACCAGGGTTCACTGTTTCTTTCTGTTAAACCCTGTATGAAAGTACATTCATGATTCATACTACAGTGAGCAGGAGGTTTAACAGTGAACCCGGGTGCTCTTTGGCCTTATTTAGATCTTTGTTTCTCAGACCAAGGTTCAGCAGGGTTTAAGGGCATTCCAAACGAAATAAGTGTTTAATGAGGCTAAGAAATAGAAAAATGTGCTTAATTAGAATGATATACCTGGTATTTTGTACTTAGTAAATGTTAAACACATGAAAATCAGTTATTTTTATCAGTGGCCTAAAATACCAAAAGTCAAAAGACCCCTTCTACTCTAACTTGTCACTTCATAGTTCAGCCATCTTTGTTTTCAACTAGTTTGAAATGAAGAAAATGCGTACTTTGAGTTGGATTTACTCCGTGATAACTGCTTTTCATAGCAAAACCATGATATATTTTGAAGAATATCTACCCAGAGACGAGAATTGGTAAGTGTCCACTCTAAAATCGAAGTATTTCTCTACGAAATGATCGATCGAATTTTGAAATATTTCAAAAAACGGATTTTTTTTGATCTACTGGTACTTTGAAAACTCATCGGCGATTTCTGACGAACTGAGAAGGTATAGACAGCTTCATTGTGGCAGGAAACATTCTTTCATTTTTTCAAAAAATATATATGTGGGTTTCGAGTCGTAGTTTTGATGTTTATTTTTCTCAGACTTTTGAAATGTAGAACTAAGAGCCCTCAAATAATAAGAATAACCTGGGGGTTACTCACTTCGAGAGCCATGTTAGATTTTGAAACTTATGGCTCTCAAACGGAGAAGTGAACAGCTGATCAATAGTGACCTTTGAAATTGAATTAAGTCAATCCGCGGCTTACTTTTGGTATCTAACTGTGTCTTACATCAGTATCATCAATCCGTGTAAGTATTGGAGCGCTGGAGTACTTCTTTTTCGATCAAGACTTGTAAATTGTTCATCGAGTTAAAGTTTTACAGACCTATTTCCAATATGGCGGTTTGCTGGGTGCGAGATACGCAACGAACGAAATGAATTTTGAGAATTAGTTAGGTTCGGACAACCTCCGGAGATTTACGAAAATGTCCGAGCAGAAACCGCCATATTGGAATTTGGCAGTAAAACGATTCACTCGACTAACAATTACAAGTCTTGATCGAAAAAGAAGTACTCCAGCGCTCCAATACTTACACGGATTGATGATACTGATGTAAGACACAGTTAGAGACCAAAAGTAAGCCGCGGATCGACTTAATTCGATTTCAAAGGTCACGATCATTGAGCTGTCCAAATGCTCCGTGGGAAAGCTATTATATCAAAATCCAAATAGCTTTCGCAGGAAGTAACCTGGGGGTATGTTTCAGAATATGTCTAGCCTCTTCGTGAGACTATCAAGTGGAAAGCTGTGATTGAGCAAGAAAGCTGCAAAAGCTGCCCAAGTCAATAAGGCGAGGAAGCCTGTTGGGAGGCCCATGGCCCTAGCTGAGGTGCTGGCACAAGCAAAGAAAACTGGACCTGGTGCGAAGGAAGAGTGGGATTGGCTCCCTCACTTCATGTTACAGTTTGCTGCCTTCAGAGGCCAGACCTTCAAGTGGCTTGTAAAGAATTCTTTGGGTATGCTGCATACATTGTAGAATCTGTCGACAGAGAGTGTGCAACTCCTGCATCCCTGAGCCAGAACAAGGCAACCCTGGTCAAGTACCTTATGGCATTTCTGGAGGGCAAAGAGGCCATAGAGATGAAGAAGTTAAAGGGTTCCAAGAAAAGACCCCAGAAGCTGATTTAAGTATATACTGTAGATCCATTTTCTTATGTACGTACATGTAAAACATTTCAGGGAAATCGCAGTAAGAATTTTCTTAATAGCCCGAGCAATATTCTTATATGTGCGTACATGCTAAAAATATTTTGGAGCTGTTAAGAGCTCTAGTCTTATTTTTAGCATTATTCTGAATGGCCCCAGTATTATTTCAAGTTTTTACACATGCAAAATTTTTTTTCATCCACAATATGTAGGATCTCTAACTTTATTTCTAGCGTGTATGTACGTATAACAAAATTTAGAAATCAAACATTCAAACACTGAAAGATATTCACTGTTACAGTGAATACTAGTATATTAGTGTTTAAATGTTTGATTGAGGTATAAAAATAATTGTTACAGTATGTTTCCTAGTATGTACAAACATGTTATAAAATTATTTTGAAACCTGACGAAGCTAATGTGAACTCTATAGTATTACATAAACACAGAGGTTTCACTAGAATTTCTCACAACAGGCTAAATAAAAGAAAACAGGAAAAATTTATGGAAATCATAAATTTAACATGGAAAAGTTGAAAAATCCCTGAAAACAACAGGCGATTTTGTGAAAACAACAGATGAAAATTGCCTCTTGCCTGTCAGCATATCTTAAAAATCAAATAATATCTTGAGTCCGATATAATGATTTTATTAATGAATGCACTTAATGATCCTAGGGGCTTCTCCAGAGTTTTCCACTCAGGTCAGCCTAACCCTTTGTTGCACACAAGTGATCAAACTGGCAAATGCATTGTATGTTATACTCATCATAATACATATTTTTCACATTAATCTTTTGAAATGGACCTATTTTATTTACAGTGGAGTGAAGAAAGGGCAGCAAGAGGATCTTTTCACAGATGATGTGACAGATACAGAGCTGCTGCAAGCAACAGGAGATGTGGTCCTTCAATCGTTTCCCAAATCCCAAAGTCCCCCAAGGTTGGATAATTATTTTAAGCATTCAATACCTTTAAAGGTAGAGATGGACGCAATACTATTGAGCACAACTTCTGGACCTAGATCTGAGAACCTGTTCCTCTGTACATGGAGGTTGGGACATAAGTGAAAGGTAGGGTAACACTTCCCATCTACAGATGTCCCCGGGGCTCAACATCGCTTGGGTCTTTTCACAATCATACCAGGTGAGTTTCTTATTTGGAATATTCTGAAGAAATTAAAGGCCCCATTTAAAATTCAAATATTTGTAAATTACAAAGTGAGCAACCTATCTAAATAGTTTTTTAAGTCATTAAAAGTAATATTTAAATGATTAAAACTATATATCCAAACTTGACATGGGGCCTTTATCTATTTGATAAATAATTTTGTAGTGTCTGACAATGCAGACTGTCTCAGAGAATTTTTTAAATATTAGCATATGTGAATACTGCTTTGATGGGTCTTATAATATATATAGCAGAGAAATTAAATTTTATGTTTCACCCTTGGTATACGCAGCTTACGAAAATTGACCGGTACGGGTCAAAAGCTGGACCGGTACGGGTTAACGGTTTTATTTGAATTTAAAATAGCCATAACTTGCTCAATATTGACTTCCTCGTGTCTAATTTAAAATATATGATGCCTCCCGATGCTTTTTAGTACCCCAATTTTTTACAGATTTTTAAACGGAACAAAACTCTCTAAATGCGCATTTATGCTCTTTTCTCTCGAGAACGACTGTCTCATTTTCACGATAACTTTTATTTAGTACTTCTAACATATAAGATCTATTTTTCCCCATCAAGGTATGATGTAAATGACATGCTATTTACATCTTGTGAGTTTCAATCACGCGCGTTTGATTTTATAAAAAATGCCAAACTTTGTGACAAAGAATTTCATCCTGCTTGCAGCGAGAAGACGGACCGGTTCGGGGCAATAGGTGATGAAATTCTTTGTCACAAAGTTTGGCATTTTTTATAAAATTAAACGCGCGTCATTGAAACTCACAAGATGTAAATAGCATGTCATTTACATCATACCTTGATGGGGAAAAATAGATCTTATATGTCAGAAGTACTAAATAAAAGTTATCGTGAAAATGAGACAGTCGTTCTCGAGAGAAAAGAGCATAAATGCGCATTTAAAAATCTGTAAAAAATTGGGGTACTTAAAAGCATCGGGAGGCATCATATATTTTAAATTAGACACGAGGAAGTCAATATTGAGCAAGTTATGGCTATTTTAAATTCAAATAAAACCGTTAACCCGTACCAGTCCAGCTTTTGACCCGTACCGGTCAATTTTCGTTAGCTGCGTATACCAAGGGTGTGTTTTATACATCGTAGATTTTTGCATTCTTAGTTAGGGCATTCTTGACCCAAGGTGTTGTAGCCAGATCACCAGACCACAACAGATATATGGAGGCTGTGATGAGACCCCTCTTGGAAATTCACCCTGGATCCACCCAGGTGGCTGGTGTGAAGGAGATGAGGTTGAACCTCATTGTAAAATCCTACAATGAGATTAGAAGAAAG